CACTATAAGAAAATAGCTTGACAGTTTAACCCTTATGCATCAGTTTTCTGCAATTTCTAGGAAGCTGAGTAGGGAATGATACATGTGCAACAATACACGTGGTAACTCTGTTATTTCTTAACATATCCTGGTAAGAATTTGTTATAGATTTTAAGTATCCTGTACACAAATAATGGCATTATTTTAATTAAGTATTTTTACTAAAATATATGTTATGCATTTTTGTAGTTATTTGCACTCAGACTCTGAATAGCTCGAGTGCAAGGTGATTTTCATTTAAAGTATAAAAATACTTTTCTTCATTTTACAGTTGTCAAGTTTTATTTGCATAACCTCTATAACCTCTTAGATTAATATCAAAAGTTTTTTTTTTGAGGAAAAGTTTATATTTTAATTTTCTCTACTGTATTACTAACTGTAGATATAATCATCAACATACAGTGCAACGAAATGTTTAAAATTGAGAAATAGAAAAAATGTAGTATCTTTTAATTTTTTGTAGAATACCATAAAATATCTGGTTTTGGTTATAATCTTAATTTCACATATATATAATTTTTAATGTTTTATTTTCCTTCCCCGTCCTTTACCTTTTATTACTCATCCCAGCACATGTGAACATGCCCTTGGGGTGTACTTACAGTATCTTCAGCAGAGATGCACAAACCTTTGGCAAAGTTATCTTACAATGTTTGAGGTAAACAGAAAAAATGTATAATACTTTCAATTATGCATTTCAAAACATCAATAATACATAATTAATTAAGATATAAAAGTAAACCTAAATGCATTTTAACTGTCTCTCTAACTATAATATATTTAGGTAAGAAACATCTGTGGAGAAAGCAGCTAACAATACTGCCAGCAGTTACATCCAAATGATGACAGCTATGCACCAATTCAATTTCAAAATAACTTGTTGGATAATAGTGTAGAATGAGCTCTTTCTGATGACTATATACATATGTATCAAGTAACTACATGTAACTTGTAAAGTTCAAGGAATAATATAGAAGGTTGTCATGGCACCTGTCAGGAATTGGAAATATTTATCTATAGTTTCAACAGAACTCAGTCAAAGAACTTTGTAACTAAGTGTCAGTAGTGCAAGTAAATGTACTTATTGTCTAGACGTACATCTACCAGACTTAGCTATCTTATTCAAGACTGAGAGTGCAAAAGTTGAGATTTTTCAGAACTTGTGGGTTAGTGACAACAAACCTGAAGTTTACTTATTTTTTAAAGGTTTATTTGAAACAAAGGAATTAAAACTTAGATAACATAAAACATCAAATTGTAACATACATTATAATGTTAATTTGATTGACATACATTGATAGTAAAGTTGTTTAATTAAATTTTGAATATAACTCAGTGATTTGTCTAGAAAGGGATTTAAAGGGGTATCTGTTGCAAAAGGGTTAAACATTAACATGTTGTAATACATTCATCACCGATGTCACTCCTCCAACATTAGGCAGTAGGAGTGGCTTAATGTGTTTTCAATGGTCAAAATATGTGTTAGGGAGAATTGGAGAAAATGCAGGGAGGTTATACTAGGTTACTTTTTTCAAAGAAATTTTTTTGTACAACGGGAACTCAATCCAACATCTAGTGTTTCTGTGTTCCCTATTTAAGGTATTCTGGTTTATTTATTGTTACTTTTTTTAACAATATTGGTTATACTACTTAATACATCAAGTGTTATTACTTTTTATTTTTATACTTTTATTATAGAGATTATTTTATATTGTTAACTTAATATATATGTTTTTAGGATCACGTAAATTTTTTAAGCTTGCTGAATCTCATAAGATATTATTGGGATTATGTCAGAAATACTGTTAACAGCAAAGGTGCCCAATTGATGAAGCAACAAGTGTAATTATTACAAGTAGAAACATAAGAAAAGTAATTTCATTAGCTATATTAATTGCTAGATTGATTTTTAATTTCACTGTGAGTACACAGCTTGATATAATATGAAGTTAATATTAACTACTATTTAACCCAACCATATATAGCAGCCCTAACAAATCCTGGCAATTAAAAATTTCACTGTGCCACCTAGGATTTTATTCTTACGTAGAGATGTGCTGAATATAACTCGAATCTAGAGCAGTTCCAGACTCTTGAAAGTCCAGAACTATTTTCATGTTCTTAGAGTCCTAAATCAAACTTTGTTTCTAGGGTTTTAATGAAAGATTCAGCACTTTTTCTTATTTTTCAGGAATGAAGCTCTGAGGTTGCACAACATGTTACTAATTTCGTCCAATTTGTTTTTCTACTTTCTCTCAATTCATTGTGTGTGTTTAGACTCAGATGGGACCAAAGGCAGTTAGTTCAGGCAATACTATCAAGTAATTGTTGATATCATGTGATTGTTAGCATGTACTTGTTGCAGTGAAAGTAAATAAACATAGTCCCCATTTCCCAGTACAAAATTAGTGAAGTAGGTTAGGCACACCAAAAGGCCTTTGCTTATTGGTGTACAGTGTTGTAGTGATGAGTAGATTAGACCTGTTCTAAACAACCTGCTTGGCCTATTGATATTGCAGTGATTACTTTTATTTTCATTCATTGCAAGAATCCACCTAAGTTATAGTTATTTCAAGAATGTGTTGTCTTGGGTTAGACTCAACAAGCATCTTCAGAGCATTAATATCAATTCCAACATGTCGCCCCCTGCCATCACAGTTTTTAAGGCCAAAGTCACCTGAACAAAATTTTCTGAACCATCATTTACACTTATGAACGTTCAAAACATTTCCATAAACTTCTTTGATATTCTTTTTGGCAACAGAGGCATTGTTTCCCTTCTTGTATTCAAACGGCATTACATGCCGAATG